TCTGACTTGTGAATATGGAATATATAATTCTGGAAAAAAGTAGCACTCGGCGACTGATATGCGGAAAGGTTGTCTCACATTTTGTTTTCGTTGTATGTTTTTCTTGAGTCGGTTTCCATTGTTGGTAAAATTGTACAAGCATTACATTCAGTGTGTGGACTTCCGAACAAAAGAGGTCCACTTTACCAGGTATAGCAGCGACGTTGTGTGGACTTGGCCTCGTCGACACAGTGTTTTGGGTTAGGTTAATTGATGGCAAAATGAATAGAAACACTAAAGGGAATCATAGAAAAACATTTAAGTTGAAAGAGTTTTTACAGTGTGAGTAAAATGAGTTTTTTTTTACAGGTTTTTCTTAATTACTATTCACGAAAACAAAGGAATGTCCACACTACGTATGTAACGTAAACATGTATGTACCTAACGAGTGTTGCGATGGCAGTCTTATCAATCCCGAAATTATATCCAATACCGAAAAGGAGGTCTTGTTTTCATAGTTTGAACATTTAACTTTACACTGGAAATTCATTACTTTTATGTAAAAACAACTGATACAATTAGGTAAGTTTTAATTAGCCTTGAATTATCCTATTGAGCTGTATCTTACACCTTTCTCACAGCAACAGTTTTTTTTTATTTGGAAGATTGAACTCAAGATACCATAACCTTTACTGGAAGATATCCCTAAAAAGCTGTATCACTGCTGTTTGAAAAAAAAGACGGTCAAAATACAATTACTACCAAACAAGTGTACGATACGTTCATTTATATTTTGTCCAATCACATGTTCATATCGATCAGGTATTCATATCACAGCTGTTTCTTGTGATTCAGTAAATTCGTATACGTGTGATTATGTTGAGAAAATGACACTAGGAAAGCTGCTTATCGTTCACGATAATTTTGTGGAAACCCAAATTTCGCGATTAAATTTCAACCGAGGTACTCCCTTCGACAGTCCGTAAGCAGACGTTTAAACAAGTTACAGGAAAACCCTCTCCGATGGATTGCCGTTTTGGGACGATAAAGTTATGACCATTTATTGCGATAATTCCTAGATTTGCTTATCATCTGTGAGTGCCATCCCAATTGTCTTCTCGATTCTTCTTGAAAAATCGGGGTTGTCTCAGAGAGTGACAGCGAGCGATGGGACCCGTCCTATCCTATCCGTCTTCACGCCGTCCCGTTCCCCATCCCACACCAGCTGCGCTCCCCTATAATTCCCCCTGGAGACGCTAGACGGACGTGCCATCTTTTTTGCTCTTCATTCTTCTCTCCACCTCCCCCTTCCCCTTTTCCCCTTGGTCACTTTCTGTTGTGATAAAATCTATCGAGAAGGGGTCTGGAATGTCAGATCTATGCAGGTATAGTGTCAGGTCCCTGCCACGGGTGTGCAGTCCCACTAATGGATTTCTCGTGTCGGGCGATCGACCCGATTCGCCCACGATCGGTTTTGCGGGTAACGGCTTGGCTTTCACTTTCATGTCAACCAAAGAGGCTGTTTCTTCAGTTTCCAAGTTGCTTCCGGGCTGATTTTTTTTCCTGTTTAAACATACATGGGATGATTTAGGTATCCACTTTTACCAATGCATAATGCTGTTCAGACAATTTCAGAATACGTATACACAGTGAAAACATCCAGTAACTTAACTATTGGCTTCTTTTAAGAAAACCTTTACTTTTTAAGGTTAATGGTTTCACCATTTCCAGTTTCTGATTTCCTTATTTAAAGGCGATGGACTATAGTGTATCAGAAATTTACCAATCTACAGAATGTATAACTTTGAAGAACTGCCGAATTGGCAAAATTGGGGAATCCAATTCCCTTTCTGATTGACCACTCAAACTTGGAAATATTTTATACAATCACTGCTCAAAAGATAAAGTATCGAAAAACCAAGCGGTTGTATACTGATTCTACAACACGCAGAGGGTATCGGTCGTCAGTTGCACGACATTTGTTGTAAATAAATCAATCGACGCAAATATCAATATAACCGAATGATTTGCGCAAGAAGCCGGTGGAGACTGTAATATGCAGATAGCCAATATAAGTGCAAGTACATTTGGAGACTGCGGTTCATTTCGAAGCTTTGAGTCACACAATCAAAATAACGTGGGCAAAACCTCGTCAACCTCAAAAGCTGATGCCGCTGCAAGACCACTTAATGAGCTAGCCTTCAACTTCATTTGCTTATGCGAAAAAGGCCGGAAATATAGTAATGGGTTCGGATGAGTAAGAACAACATTACCCGGGAGTGCTCAGGTCGTATAATTGTCCTCTATTTCCTCCGATTAGAAGAGGGAAGAGAAATCAATAAAATAACGATCTTCTGACGAAACCTCCCTTGTGTGCCAGATGTGCGCTTTGATTTGTGTCTGACCGTCTGGCTCAGTGCCTAGGGGTGGTACAGATTTGAGTTCTTGATTGCAGGAAATGGCGGAGAATATTTGGCTATTATTCCAGACATGTGTTACGCTGCTGGCATGCACGAATGATGAATTGATAATGATTTGATGGGTACACAAAGCAAAAGAGAGATCGCATTCCTGCGGCACAGTTTGCCTTCCTAAACATAGCTTTTGGTTGTGTAGGCGTACGTATACGTGCGAGACATTTAAAACATTTAAAACATGTGTCTTACAGAAGGAGGCCTATACACTTGCGGGTAATGACTTATTACAGGTGTGTTTATAATTGGTTCTGTTCGGCTGCTTGACAAAATATCAAGGTCATGGGACGGTTACGTGACGTCATGCACTTATTTAACCCCAAACACAATGGGCAGTGGTTATGGTTTGTTTTTTTTACTAAAAATGGATGGGACACTAAAAATGGAATTCATTGCAACAGTCCTGAAGCACACTGTATTCTTTATTTTAAAATAAAAAAAAATGTATGTAGATTGAGTTAAAAAGAAAGAGACCGAGTTAGAAAAATATTATTTGAAATCATTTAATAAAAATAACACAGGAATAAAGTACACGTTATTGACTATTAACTGTGAAAATGTCACGTAATTTGCATACTCTATTCACAACTTTCTTCTATTTTCAGAGAAATACCACAAAAAAACAGCTGCCCACCACTGATCATTAACCGATACGCATTGGTGAATATATTATATACCCGTTAAATAAATGTACCATGGAGGTTTTCCTACATCCATGAATGAACGAAAACTTGCAAAAATCGCAATCATCATTTCAGAAAAAGACTTGATTTGTTCCTCATGTTAAAACCCCCCAAAAATCTGACTGTAAAAACAGTAATTTATTAAAATCTCATTAGTGTTTGAATACTTGTGTGTAATTTCTGGTTCTCACTCAGCTGAGCGGCTTTAGGGCATTATGGACAGCTGTAAAAATGGTTCTTTTATTAAATCATGCATAACATGCATAACATAACAAAGCATGAATCAATTTCATTGATTCTTTTTTCACATGAGTGGCAAAACATTCTTGTTGACTACATGCTTCATTGTTGTACAAATGTGATTGCTTTTTCAGAGAAAAACAATCAATAATCCAGGTCACTTCTTTTTTGAATCACCCTGTATGTTTAAGGCATGGAGTGAAGATAACATGTGGGGTGAGTGCCGCGTCAAGGCAGCTTAATTCTACAGCGTGTCCCAATAAACATTTTGCATGAAGAAATTGCTGATTTTCTCAAAAGTTGGTCAGACTAGCTAATCAAATTTTATAGCATTTTCAAGCCTATGGTCTTGTTTACAATTGGTGGAAAAATCAAGTAAGGCTATATGTATTTTTCGACCTGTACAGTGTAATTTCCACACTTAGTATTTGCTTGTATATACCTATCATTGGGTTATTGGTATGTGTTACGCAGTGCTTGAAATATTGCATGGCCTTTATGTAAAAAATATTTCATTTGTAAATAAATGAAAGAAGAAACAGCATAGCTAGAGGGTGTTTATTTGATTGTTCATCGAAGAAGATTATTCAAAAACACGAGGTAACTGCTCTAATTGCAAATTACTCGAGCGTCAACGTTGTACAGACCCTTTTGATGTTCTTTGTTAACATGCTTAACTACAGGATTCTAATTGTGCAGGAGGAAAATAATATAGCCTGACAAAATCAACGATATCTCTGGTTTGCATTAATGGATTTTCTTGATATTTTCACCAATTACAAACGAGACCATAGGCTTTAAAATAAAATAAAATTTGATTAGCTAGTATGACCATCTTTTGAGCAAATCAGCGATTTCTTCATGCACAATGTTATTGGGACACGCTGTACTTCGTCCATTGAGGTTTCGTACGCAGGGTTTCCCACAAAGTAGTGGGGCCGATAGGGGAAATATTTGGGGGAATTGTGCCTTTGATGATACAAGTATGGAATTTGGCACACAGTCAGAGTACGTTTATGAAATATATTTGGCTATAGGGCATTTACAGATTTGTAAAAAATATAGGTATATTTTTTTTCAAAGGACAAATCTGCGAAGGCGGATATCTTTCTCATGACATACTCTGACTGTGTGCCAAATGCCATGCTTGAGGGAGCAAAGGCACAATCCCATCACCTATCTGCCGTATAAAGAGTTTGTTTTTGCATTCAATGGGGGATGTTGAACAATGGAGGAAAATAGGGTCCACAATTCCCGCGAAGGTCCACAATTGACGATCGTGTACAAAACTTATGGGAGGTCTTCCTACAAAGTTAAGGTACACACAAAAGAGGGACAACAGGAGGTCCACGATTGAAGGTGTTTACACACTTGCGTGCGTTTGGCTGTGTGTCCTCTAATTTGAGAAGCTGATTAAAGATATAGACCCAGCTTCATTGAGCCATTAAATGCTCAGCAAATGTATGGGCTAAGCAAAATATTGGCTGGTAACCAGTCATTAGCATACAACTTTATACGAAGTACAACATGTTTGCTGGTAACCTGTTTTCTGTTAGCCGACATTTTCTGTGCTTAACAAATTGCTATGCTTAAGCAGCTCCTTGAAATCTGGTTTGGGACTCACCCTATATGTCTCATTGACGTCTCGTGAGAGCTGGTTGAGCCAGCCGTACTCCAGGTCCCGCTCCCCTTCTCCGATGGAGTACCAGCAGCAGGCCATCCAGTGAGCCACGAGGGTGAAGGCAGACATGAGCAAGCAGATGACGGCCGGCGCGTACTGCGAGTACTGGTCCAGGCGCCGGGCCACGCGGAGCAGACGCAGCAGGCGGGCTGACTTGAGCAGACCCATGGTCGTCGTGGTTTTCTGCATAGTGGGGTGATTCAGTGATGTTACGGTTAGTGGTTTGAATGGTTTGTGGGGGAGTTTGCCCTAGTGGATAGGGTTCGTTACTGATCAGAGGGTTAGGGGTTCGAATCCTGCTGCTGGTCATATGTTGTATCCTTGAGCATGCCACTTCACATATCCACCTGACTCTCTCAACCCAGGATTGTAAATGAGTAACCTGCGATGGACTGGCATCCCATCTAGGGTGAATGGAAATATTTTCAGTCGTTTTGTGCCAAGGATATCGGATATAAAGTCGGCCTGATGGGCCACATTGGCTCGTGAGAGACTTTACTTCTATGGATACTGGTTTCACCATTTCCAGTTTCTGATTTCCTTATTCAAAGGCGATGGACTATAGTGTATCAAGCCTTTCATTGTGGTTCGTTTTCAAGAACAGCCGATGGCCCGAGCACTCATTTTACTCAAGGTTTATTTTTTTGACCTCTAACTTGGTCTTACCAGGTATCATGTCATTACCGATGGGAGAAAGATTCGTGCCATGGCCTCAGTGTATCAAAAAGGGCTTTAAAGAGAAAATTGCGAGAGAGTACAGCTGCGATAAGCTCTTACATGCAATGGTGACGTCGCCTAAACGCTCACGTGAAGCTGTTACGGGTTTGTGCAATGTGTCCTGGCCAACCCTGGGAGATGATGAAACACCATGTACTGTCCATACACGGAGTCCATAACGATGCTCGAGCACCGTCACACATTCACTCATGACAAAATTATACTTGAGAGAGATAGGTCACGTACAAGTTGATCAATGAATGCAACGGTTCCAAGTTGTACTTTTATCATGAAATAATCTAAAAGGGCAACTGGTAACTCACCTCATCGTTAGCCAAGCCGAAGAGGATCAGATCGAAGGGGATAGCCGCCAGCACGTCGATGACGAACCATCCCTTGAGGTAGTGCTTGGCAATCTTGGCCGGGTCCGACACCACCTCGCCCTTCACGTCGTCGATGAAAGTGGTCCGGAAGTTGATGAAGATATCCACGATGAACATGATGTCCACGATCAGGTCCAAGATGACCAGGGGCTCGGTGTAGCTGGAGGACAGGCCTTCCCCGGCCCGCGTCTCGGCCTCCTTGTTGAGCTTGGCCCGCCGCTCGTCGTCGTTCAGGAGGAAGGCGGCGGCGTAGGGCGTGAAGATGGCCGTGTAGACGACCAGCAGCAGGACGAACCAATCCCAGACGGCCTTGAAGGGCGAGTAGTGAAGGATGGTGTAGTTGTGAAGCTTGCGGCTCCGGAGCTTCTTGTGGTTGATCTCGTCCGAGGTGAGCCGAATCACCTGCAATTGATTAATGAGAACAATTAATTGATACTTTTTATTATTTCCTCTTTGGTAATTTAAAGAAGGGTTCATTAAATAGGTACTGTAGCTCTGAAGCCTGACGAATCCTAGACATTATAGGTCTAGGGTAACGTTGTTCCTGTATGCAGGGAGGAAAGAGGGAGGAGGCTGCTTTTCTGGAGAGAACACTGACCTTGGAATTCTTCATAATTCCAAACAATACAAAGCTTTATTTTCCCTTCTCTAAATTCTGATCGGGGCTCAAGGGGGGAGGGGGAGGTGGGGTGGGGGTTCAGGCTTCGAGGAAGGTGGGTGTCCCTTCCCCCTTAGTTTCGCCAAACCTAACGAAGGTGATGGAGAATAAAAATGAGAAAAATTCAGGATAAGAGGTCTGAAATACTATTTTGAATTGTCAGCGGAACACGCAAAGAGGCAGACCCAAATACGCTAGTACATTTAAAAAAAAGAGTACGAACAAAATGTTGAAGAATTATGCCCTGCCTTCCAAAGAAAACACCAAAGAAATCCAGAAGGGGTCTGAAATAACATCCACATGCAACTGTAGTTTACTTATATTCGTGTCTGGATCAGAAAGGTAAAAGATGATATTCTTGGATCCTATAATCCTACAGAGATCGTATGCTTAAACCAGGCATTCAACCAATAAACTTTACAGAATTGAGTTGTTACACAATGTACACTTTACACAGTAGATGTGCAGCGTTTCCTCATACCCCCAATAAATAAATAAATAAATAAATAAATAAATAAATAAATAAATAAATAAATAAATAAATAAATAAATAAATAAATAAATAAATAAATAGATACATCCAAATTTTGCAGATTTACTACTCTGACTTCATTTGCCCGAACTCCAAGTTTCCTGTTAACATCCCGGTATAAAAACAAAAACAAAATGCAGTTTACATGAACTTGTTTTGTCTTTTCGTTTGCAGATGATGGATAAGTAGTTTTCTCTCAGACTGTCAAGTGATCTTTAAAATTAGTTTCTTGCCTTGGAGCTTGACAGTCAGTCAAGTTAAGTCGAGGGTCTTGGATAAATCGCGCCGCGGGCCCCAATCTCCACCAGTCCAGGCGTCCAAATCCCCCAATTTGTCATCGCTATGAAATGAAAAGCGCTTGAGGATTGTATATTGTCGGCTGAATTTGCAAATCATATCTCAACCGCGGTTTTAGTTAATCTCCGCTGCTTGTTTATGGCCTTGCAAAACTCGAAAGGCGTCAACGTGGCCTGCAGTGCAAGACGTAGTTACAAGACAGTGTTTTCTTTTGTATCAATTGCCTGAGTTAACATGTTGTACATTTATTGTTGGTAAATTAACAAAGAATTATACCTTTTAGATACCTGTAAACTCGACTAATTTTGGACAAGTGGTTCAATTTAGATATCACGAAGTGTTAATGGACCTACGGCATAATTGCGTCACGCTTTGTTTACATGTGCCCTTTCCTACGGGAGTCAAGTGGGGACGACATCTACCAAGCTCCCATAGAAAAGCACACACGTAAACAAAGCGTGACATCGTTAACATTGTTAACAGTACAGTCTGCCGTTCTTACAAATGTATATAACTGAGGCCTATCATGTCAATCATTTTTAAACATGAGCCAAATCCTCCAAACAAAATACTGCTAAGTAGAGTTTATCGCCTTGTAAAGAACACTTTTTGTTCCTGGTATTCCTGTTTTCTAAACCAAATATTTTCGGCGACTGGCATAATATCTGTGGTAAGCAGTGCATGCCGTGAGATTTGGCTCCTGGTCATGTAAACAGCCAAGAACGGTCGTCCACTTCGAGCGTTGGAATGAGGCCCTTTCGGACACTTGGTGGCAGCACACTAATGATGAATCCTTTATCAATAAGGTTTGCTGCTACGATGCTACTGGGTCAAGGGGTTCGGGATGAGTATTAATTCTAGATAGGTTTATTTGTGCATATCTATATGATCTTAGAATGTTACATTTCAGCACATAAAGAAAAGAACAACTTGAAATAAATCGGGGACACGCATACAAGTGTAATCAAGTGTATCATTCTAGGCAGTACTGCTCGTTCATATTAAACGCTCATATATTGAAAAGTAGGTTAACTATATTCCCCGAGATACCCTCGCTTATCGCATTCGTCACAACTTCTTGTCCATAAGTCCATTCCCAGCCTAAAGCAAGGCATACAAAGTGGGGCAGAGGGTTGTACAAAGGATGAGTGTACGAAAGAAAAAAAAAAGGTCAAACAATTTCGCAACCCGGCCGAATTTGATATAGGCCGCCCCAACGATCATACTTTTAATTTTCGCTTTTCAAATTAGGGATACAGACTGGGGCAGTTGCAGATTAAATGGGCCGCAAGGGCAAGAGACGATGGCTTTATACTGACTTATCCTCATCGGTGAGAATTAGGACACGATCGGTATTAATTCTGTGTATGGAGCGCCAAAAGGGAAAAGTATTGCAAACTGATTGAAACTGATACCATAAACTCTGTGGCTAGTGGAGAGCTGTACAGAAGTGTTCGATGGTAGATGTGATACACAAGTAAATTGTATACTGTATGTGGTAATTGTCGTTAATGATGAGGGGGGGGGGGTGGTCAGTGGTACAGTTGAGCTATTATTAAGCCATACATGGAAACGTAATACATGTAATTCGCTGGGCACATACCCGTCCGAAATCACACTAGTCAAGTCGTTAGACATGTCGAAGCCAGCAAATGATAAACACGATACATATATAACACAGCGCCGTGCTAGTAACATTTTTTTTTGGGGGGGAGAGGGGAAAAACACGACTATCTAATGACTTGTCCTCAAGTCTAATATATTTATATATTGATGTGCAGTATGGGTCGAAATACTGCCCGATATCCACTGAGAAACACGTGGATATCACAGTTCCTATCGTGAATATCGATATTGTCAGTGCACGTGCTCTGCGTCGTATAGTCCGTATAAATACAGTCACATATATTGCTGTCAATTCAATGGGGAGTGTATCAAATGAAAGCATTTTCAAACCGATATTGTCATATTTCAAGCAAATTGGATGACATTTAAAAAAAAAAAATCACCAATACGTTCTCCCCAAATGTGCTATATTGTGGTATTCCCTCGGTTCGGTAACAGTCTTTGGCTGAAAAAAAAGCAAATTCACGGTTGCAATTCACTGTGGAAATCAAAACACAGATACATTATATAGGTGTTATGAAAGAGCTGTCTTTCAAATCATATGAGCCACTATGGCAGTTCGAATGAGAGACAGACAAAATGGAACATGAGACGAAAATAACATTCTCAAGCCCACTCAAGTCTGCAGCGCGCCCGGGCTTGAACCCCGCAGGACCCTCTTCCATTCTTCCTGCTCCCCGGTTCAGTTCGTAGCCCCCCGTTCTACAAATCCACCGACTTTCCGGTAGTCGACCCCCAAAAAGATAGACACGCTGGCCCCTGTGGCGTCACCCGTGCACCGGGCTGCAAAGACGCGCCACGACACCCGGTGTAAATTGCATGCTGCCTCACACACGGAGCGGTGATTACACACTTACGGGACTCGCGCACGCGCGCGCGAGCGGGTAACTTGGCGTTTTAGGTTACATTTTGCAGGTTCGTTACATTACCCTATTGGGCTCGAGTGTTATTTGGCCACTGCAGCGAAAACACTGAGGTCCCTGATTTCCCGCGGTAAGATGCGAGATTTAAGATGTGGGATAGCGATTATGTGCCTGGCGTGTAGTGAACTCAAGCAGGTTGAGATCGGTAAAAGTGCATGGACATTTTCCATCGGCTTTGTTTAATGCATGATAGCAAGGGGACTTGGGAAATAAAATGCGGCTCCTTCCACGCAGACACAAAAGTTAGAGACCCCCGGCACCATGCGCACCTTTTGTGTTTAAGAGTCGATCATTTTAAGAGCAGAACGAGTGAATCTTGGCTGAATCCATGTCGACGTTGGCATTAACCAAATAATTGACGATTTATGGTTTAAACAAAAAGTACTTTAAGAGACATCACGTCCTGGAATGTGCCCAATTGGGCTACAAATCGCATTTTAAAACAAACATCAAACAAAATGATGTTAATTGGAAAGAGCATTTAAAAGTAGGATACAAAAGTCCACAAAACAATCCTTTAAAAATTGGGCGTTTTTTTTAGTTATTCTTGCGAGAACGAATTTCGGGGGCGAAAATTCAGACTCAAAAATCGAGCCGTTGGGTGCATGCTAGTCGTGAATCCTGCCACGCATGTTCCACCAGTTCATCGCATTTGGCGGACGTGCGAGAAACAACATGTACCGTACCTCGAATGGACACAGCTGGAAATACGTATGCGTTTGCCACAAAATGTCCGCCGCGTCCGATGTAAACAACCTTTTTTTTGGTTGTCTTTTCTCGGGGACAGTGCGATATTACGTTAGTTTACTCTAAACCAGAACTTTGAAAATAGGATTGAGTAGACAATCTAAAACACACACCTCGGTGATTTCAGGCCGTAGTGCCCCTTTAAGCCATGCCTCTTTTGATCGAAAATGTATGTGCCTTAATGCATTTGGCATGTACGCACAATCGATGTTTCGTGTGCCAACACCAGAGAGGTGTCCACGCATAGCTATTTAGAACATTCCAAATAACACTGTGATTGTGTTTTCAAATTTACAACTTAAAGAGAAAGATTTGCAACCTAATGCGACCAGATAAAGTATCTCTTTAAAATAATAGTTATGTTTGTCTGATGATGATACAAGGGCGATAAAATGTAGAGATCTCATTCACCCAAACAATTCTGTCAAACTCGCATTCTAATAGACACTTGGTTACGTCGTGATCACAGTACTACACTGTTTACAAATTACTTGTAAAAGTTAACAACCTTTTCCTAGCAGCTGTGCCTCAATTTGTTACTTTGATCCTTGAAGTGTTCAATTTCAAGGATTCCCGAACCACCGATTGTGCGAAAATGCCTTTTAAAAAAGAAAGCATTGTTTATTTCCACTCGCCACCCACTGGAGTATACGTTCAACGAACCGTTCAAGATTGCTCTTCTCGTTACAATGAATCGCTAGACTCGTCAATAGAAAACCCATCATCATCCGTCATGGCGGCGTGCACGGCACTCGAGCGAAAGCAACGATTAAAACACCGAGGAGATTGGACATTTTGGAGGGCCCGATGAGTTGCTTGCATTGAGCACC